CAAATCAGGCCTCGGACACTTGACCCATACTAGCTGTGTGATCCTTGGCAAGTCACTTAACTTCACTGCCTAGGCAAAAAAAAAAAAAAAAGAACTGGGCATGGCTAGCTTGGAGAAAAGAAGACTATCTAAGTATCTGAAGGGCTGCATGTGGAGGACATACCAATCTTGTGCTGTTTGGCACCAGAGGGCAGAACTAGGAGTGATGGAGAAGGAGGAAAAGGTGGAAAGTGGCCAATTTTGGCTGGGTGTCAGGGCAAACTTCCTAACAGTGAGAACTGTGACTACCTCCGGAAGTGATAGGTTCCCCTTCCTTGAAGGTCTGCAAGGAGAGTCTGGGTGACTACTTGGTCAGTCTTAGTAGGGGTCCCTTTCACATGTGAGTTAGATTGGATGGCTGTTGAAGTCCCATCCGACTCTCAATTTCTGTGATTCTGAGTCTAATTGCTTTATTTTCAGTTGAGGAAACTGAGGCCCAGACAGGTTAAGTTACTTGCCTAGTATCACATAGGTAGTAAGTGAAGCAAGAATCTAACACAGGTCTTCCTGACTCCCAAGTTAAGCTCTTACCAGCTCTCAATATCCCAAGTGGCAGAGAGGTCAACTCAAATGATTGTAATCACTAGCACTGGCTCCCTTGCTGGGGGTGAGGTTGGGCCCTCAGAGACAGCTATTCCTGTCTTACTAGCTTGGGGCCCCTCAGCTCAGCCAGCAGAACAGCACTCTGGGAAGAGGAGGAAGCAGGACTCATTGAGGCCTACTCTGAAGAATCTGTCCTTGATGGGCACCTATGATTGGCACCATGTCAAATGTACTAGAGCCTAGGAGAGAGAAATATTGACCCCAGAGTGGCCTTCTGCTGCCATACCGATTATCTCCCTTCATGTCTCTGTCAAGGTCACTCAGAGGAGAGATACTTGACCTCCCATTTTGGTGACATGGTATGTGGGCGTTCAATTTAACGTATGCTGCTTGAGCCAAGATACAGGAGAGCAGGAAAATGAAACTGCATTGGAGAGGAATCCTGGCGGCACTGGAGAAGACATTAAAGTGCCTAGTGTCTTCTAAAGTGTTTAAAAACATACAACTTGACCCCATGTCCCTTCACCCAAATCTAATGTTCTCTCCACTGCACCATGGTAGATGTTTCCTTGTCGGTAAAAATAACTTGGGGGTCACACAACTTGTGTGTGAGGCAGGATTCAGGCCCAGGACTTCTTGACTGCTGTCAAGCTGGCAGCTGGTGACACAGTGAATGGAGAGCTGGGCTTTGAGCTGAGCTCAAATCCCACCTCAGATACTTGCTAGCTGTGTGACCTGGACAAGTCATTTAACCTGTTTGCCTCCATTTCTTTATCTGTAAAATGGAAGTCATAATAGCACCTACCTCCTTGGGGTTGTTGCGAAGCTCAAATGAGATAATAATTGTAAGGCACTTAGCACAGTGCCTGCCACTTAGTAGGTGCTATATAAATGGTAGTTATTATTATTATGACTTGCTCACCAAGGTGCCTCCCAGCTTATAATGCTCTGACAAAGGCGAGTCTAAGCCCTGCGTCCCTCAGTGTGCTCACAGGTCATAGGCCAAGACCATCAAAGTGATCCTGGTTTGTAGGTGATTTCTCACCTCCGCTCTACCTCTTCTCCGTCACCACCATCAAATAGGACCTTGGTTAGGCTTCCTGTGCGTGGTCCCAGCATTCAGTCTGAATATTAAAGGAAAAGGCTTCTTAACAATTACAGTTGTTCAGCCATGGAATTGGCTGCCTTGAGAGGCAGTAAGTCTCCCGTCACTGGAGGCCAGATGACCGCTCTTCAGGATTCCTGTTGAGTTACAGGTTGGACTGGATGCCCCTTTGGGTTTTTCTGCATCAGAGATTCCATAATTATGACCTGAACGGTGAACAAAATGAAGAAACCCAACCAGTCCCATGAGGCCCGCCATATTAGTACCACTAGAATCAGGGCCTCCTAGACCCAGAACTGGAAAGAAGCCTGGCAGCCAATGAATCCACTCCCTTCATTTAACAGATGGGGAAACTGATCCTCACGGAAGCAGAATGACTTGTCTACAATCATATCTAAGATCCTAGAGACCTCAGATAGAATCAAGCCCACAACCTTTACATGTAGGGAAACTGAGGCCCTGTCCAAGGCCACACAGAATAAACATCAGAGGAAGGATTTGAACCAAGGTTGTCTGACCCCAGGGCCACTGTTGTATTTGTCTCTGAGGCTCTTCCAGGGGAAACCTCGGTGCCTCCTTAAGGCTGCCAGCTCTAAAGAGCCTCATGGTGAGTAGGGATGAGAGAAGGCAGGGGGCCATGGGCAGTGCAGAGCTGTGGAGCCAGCTGCCTCTGAAGGGGCCTCTTCCCTGGTCTCTGTGCAATCATTCTTGGCTCTTAAAGGGTGTGGGGCATTCTAATCTGCTTCTAAGAAGCAAGATGACCGAGTATTTTAATGCCTGCTTGTTTTTTCAGGGCCACACTGTGACCTCCTCTCCTGCAACCAGTGAGAGGGGATTATTCTTTTCCAAGAGAGCTCAGTGATTTGGAACTTGATTATAGGTTGTTGATGTAATTTGGTTAATGGGAGGTCAATGGTGTCAAACAAAGAGTGTGGCTGTGTAACATTAGTAGCCCCCAAGAATGGAGAGCTGGAGAGGAGTGGGTGTTAGCAGTGTTGACTTTCCGGTCACCTAGGAGATGGCTTGAAAGCTGGGGGCTTCAAGGCAGCCAGCAGCCTGTGAGCTAGCCTCTAGCAGGAGGAGAAGGGCTCGAATGGCCCCCATGGGATGAGGGCCATTCGACGGAGAGCAGAATTGGCATCTGCCCTCAGACGGCTTTCCTTCTGATACCTCCCAGCTCCCTGGTCTGCCATGATTTCCACCCCTCACAATATCAGAAGTAGCTTTTGAAATCCTGCCTCTGACTCTTTCACTACCTGTATGACTTTGGTGAAGTCATCTGAATATTAAGTCATCTGTAAAATTGTTGGGGGGATGGGGACTGGATGGCTTCTAAGAGATCATTTCACCTCCCTGAGCCTCAGTTTCCCTGTCTGTAAAATTAAAAGGTTGCATTCCATGGCCTCTGAGGTCCCTTCCAGCTCTACAGCTCTGATTATATGATCTGATGTCTTTTTACATGGATGGTCGGGAACAATGTACCAGTCTATAGGAAAGCAGGGTGAGGATTCCCATTTCCTGGTCTTTACCACCATGCTCCCTTTCCGGTGGGACCAAATAAAGAAGACAAACAAATGGCCACTGGCCCAAATCTGTTTCAATAATAGCTGAATGGTTCCAAAGCAGGAGGTGCCAGGCACTGGCTCAGAGCTTCTGAGCTGACAAGGTGATGTCTTAGGTGCTGTCCCAGAATGCACTGTACTTTGCCTTGTTGAGGAGCTGACACCCCAGGGCAATACAAAACACACACCACACATATCATTGTGTGAATGTTAGAGCCCTCAGCAGAAATGAAGGAAAAGAGATGAGATAATCACTTGTCAAGAGTTCTGTTTATATAGCCCCACTAACATTGAAGCTAACGGCACTCATTAACAGGAAGGGGGTCAAAGTTCTTGCCACAAACTGCCAATTGGTCCCTGGAAGGCACACCGACTACATTTCGCACCCCAAACATCCCCATCTGATGGATAGATACCTTCACTGTCTCTGAGTTGGGCCTGCATAATAAGCAAAGAAGGGGAAAAGAAAACTGAACTCTGCAATCTAGAAAAATGAGTTGAACTAAATGAGTTTCTATCCTAAAGTCTTTTCCATTTCTGGCATTATTCTGTGTTCTTTGTTCTAAGCTCTCTTCTGCTTCTGATATTTTATAATCTTTGTCCCACCCATCTCTGCCATTCCATATTCTAAAGCTCTGCCCCCCCAGCTCTGACCTCCTCTGTCCTAAAATCCCTCTCACCACCCCTTCTAGCTCTGACAGTCTTTGTTTTAAATGCCCCTTCCTTCTAGCTTAATATTTTATGTGGTTTCTTCCAGCTCTAAAATTCGATGTGCCATGTCCCTCCCAGCTCAAACACTCTCAGATTACCTATAATATTTCTTTCATATTGCCCCTAGGTGTTAGTTCCCATTAAATCTCCCTTCTTCTCTCTCTACCTCAAGGTATACCAAACCCCCTACCAAAAAAAGTCTACATTCCTCTTACCCTGTCTACCCAAGCAAAAATAATGATTCACCAAAGAGAAAAGTCTAAATGAGTGCACAGTGTCAGGTACATATCTTCCTCCATCCCCTGGGAGCTTCAGAGAGCTTAGGTTGTTGCTCATTAGAGCTGAAAGAGACCTTAAGAGTCATCTAATGAATGCCACCTCTGCTTTCACACACTCCCAGTCCCTCCCTTCCCCCCCATACACACACCATCCCACTTCCTTTTTTTGTACAGAAAGACTGGGTTTCCCCTTCCTTTCATCTCCACGTCTTACATACTGAGAAGTGATTTCCAGTGATCACCAAACAATTTGTTGTACCCTGTGGAGTTGTTTATTATTATGGGTTCTGACCTGTGCTGTTATTGTTGAAAAAGGATCAGGAAGACACCGAGCCTTAATTACAGGTGCCAATATGGGGGAATATTGGCTGAGCCTGAATACCTGCCATGAAATAATGGAAGAGTGGTAATTTTCAGTTCTGATCGTTTGCTCACAGGTACTAGTGGTCTTAATGATGAGCAAGCATCTTACAAGTGATTACTTTAGCCTCAACAGCAGCAGTGACAGTGGCAGCTGATTTAATACATTGGTTCATTGTTCTGTCCTTCCCTGCCTTGGATGTTTACACAATTCCTACCAGTGCTCTACTAGTTCCTTTTAATCATTGGTTTGGATTTCAGTTTTTTTCCTTGCTGGTCTTTTGTCTCCTTCACTCATCAGGAAGAATTTATCTTTCTGCCCCTCTTGCCCAGAAACAACTCAAGGAGAGACTCTGGAGACACATTAACAGGTCCATCTACTTCTGTCTTTTGCTCTTCTAGGGAAACAAAAGTACCTGTGTGCCAGCAGGAATGATTGCACCATCGATAAATTCAGAAGGAAAAATTGCCCATCGTGTCGGCTCCGAAAGTGCTATGAAGCAGGGATGACCCTTGGAGGTATGTTTGGAGTCTTTGTTTTTAGAGTGGATTTTCCTGTCACATAATCCTGAGAAGGAATCAAGGTTCTAGACATAGGCCAGCTTTCGTGGCCTAGGACACTTTACCTCCTTGCATCCCCACTGAGTCTGTTGGGAGCCCCCAAGCATGCCACAGAAGAACCCTCCGTGGTTGGGTAGACCAGTTGAGTAGCGGTAAGCGGCCATCTGGCCACAGATTCGGTCATCACTAGGAAATCTTAGTGTTACTTGCTTAAGTGGCAGCTTGAGGGTCAAAAGGCTAAGGTACACAATTCTGCTTCAGGCACTGGCCCAAATTTTGAGGAGTGTATAGAAGCTGACACCTTTGACCCAGGCACAATGGAGGGAATAGGGAAAGGCTAAAAGGTTGTCCAGGATGCACCTGTCACTGACCACTGAAATACAGCCTTATGCCTCACTGCCTGGCCTCTTTAGGTATTCAAAACCTAAAACCTGAGGCAGCTCGAAGTATAACCCAGTATACAAGACTTCTCCAGGGAAACAGACAATAGAAAGAAATGCAAAGATACATAATCTATTGGGAACAGCTCTGGATTTGGAGTCAGAAAACCTAAATTTGTATTTAAGCTCTCTCACTCACTCCCCTCAGTTTCCTTATCTGTAAAATGGGAGGGTTGAACTGTATGGTCTTTAAGATTCCATCCAGCTCAGAATGCATGCTTCTGTAATCCTGTGCTTGAGGGCAAGCCACCCACATAGCTAGATTCCCAGAGCTATAGTCTGTTAGCCAGTCAGTACCTGGGTTCTCAGCTTTCCCTTCTCTCAAGGCCCTGAGCTCTTCCAGAAGAGAGCTGAATTCTTCTGGCTTTGATCAGCTGCCAGCTATGTATAAGGCTCTGAGTAGAGAGAGAGGTTGGAGCCCTTGTTAAGGCTTGAGGCAAGAGCTGCCTCTTCTTTGCTCCTGTTGGCCTCCATGCTACCCATCTCAGCTCCATCCTGCACATCGCCTGTACTCTTAGTTGCCAAATCCACCCAGTAAATTTCCTACTCCACATTACCCAGATACGAGCAGGAATTGTTGTACTTTCTCTCCCAAGCCATTCAGGCAGCATCATTTTCCAGTGGGCTCTGCTGCAGGTCTATAGCTGGCCAGCTGCTGAGAGGAGCCTAGCTCTTTCACAGGGGACTCCCACTTTGCCTTTCCCCAGTCCCTAGCCTGGCACCCTCTTGTTCTCTGGCCCAAGCACCAGATCAGAAGATTCCAGCCTAGTTTGCTGATGCTCTGGCCAATGGCAGGGGAGGAGAGCTACTTTGAGCTCCAGGCCTCATTTCTCCGTGTTTACATCTGCCTGGAGCCAGTACGCCTCCCCTCCCCTCCATTCCTCCTTCCCTGCCTCCATCCCCCTGCCTCCCAGAATGCCGCTTCCTTTAAGGACTTGCATTTTTCATGAGAAAAACAGGCTCATTAGGCCACTTTGATTTAGAAATCAGAATGGGAGAAAGGCAAACCTATTCCTGGCACCCTGGTACCTTATTAGAGGTGATCAGCCCAGCAAACACAAAGAGCCCCATGCACAAAGCCTGGTCCTCTCCTCTCCCTCCTTGGGCCTAATTTATAGCAATTACACCTCTCTGGCTGTTCCCTCACCCTCTTTCAGAGAGCTGCCCCATGGCTCATGTGCCCGTGCGCATATCTGCCAGGCCTGCCTGTTTCCCACCTGATGCCCATCTGTTCCCCTGCTCTTCCCCCACTCCCACCCTGCTGGCATACACCAAGGCTTTTCGATGATGATGATGATGATGATGATGATGACCCATCACGCACCTGCTAAGATGAGCAGAAGGAGTTTGTCCCACGGGCCAGGCCCTCAGAGTCCCGCAAAAATGGTGTCCCATACGGCTGGCTTCCTCTTCCCATCTTGTAGATGGTAACATGGAGGCCCAGAGAGGAGAGGAGACACAATTAGGAAAGAAGAGTCGGCACTTGATTTGCAAGTCTTTGTGCTACAATCAGCTGCCCCTGTGAACTTACTTACGAGGCAAAATGTCAGAGCTAGAAGGAACCTTAGAATTTTGGACAGAACAGTTGTCCAGTGCAGGGTAGGCCCTTGTCTGCTTCATGCCCCCCCCCCCACATACACACACACACACACACACACACACACACACTTTGGCTGACTGGGGAAGCAAAGGGGCCTGCCTCCCTTTTCAGAATCATGTTTTTAAATACAGAAAACAAAATATAGGATTATAAGGGAAACCAATTGTAGTGAAACAGAGCTACCCATTTTTTTTTTCATGGAACATGAAATGATATACTCTCTTTAATGAGCTTTTTACACAGAAAGGGAATCTGAAATACAAACCCTTAGTGTGAATTGAAGTCGAGATGCAAATTTTTTAAAAACCAAGTCTTTTACCTAGTTAAGCCTGAAGGCCACTGGGTTTAGAACAGTAGCTTTTGGTTCATCTGATCCTCCCAGTAACCCTCGAGGAATCCAAAGCTCAGAGACATTGAAGGATGCTTTAAAAAAAAAAAACATTGCTTCACTAATGCATAAGGATAGAATGTTATTGATATCTTTTGTTTTCACATTTCCTTCATTCCTGAATATAGCCTTCCTCTGCCCAGCCAGACATCCCTTGTAAAAAAGTATTGTTTTGGTCTGAACCTGTGATTTCATTGCTACAGGGAAGGCACAGTGAGGGCATGGCTTTGACCAGGGCAGATTGGGCGCCTATGCAGAAAGACAGTCTTAGAGAGCCCTGGGGGAGGGAAGGAAGGAAGGAGGGAGGGAAAGAAGGGAGGAAGAGGAGGAAAGGAAGAAAGGAAAAAAGGAGGGAGGAAGGGAAGGAAGGAAGGAAAAGAAAGGAGGAAGAGGACAGAAGGGAGGAAGGAAAGGGAGGAAGGAAAGAGGAAGGGAAGGAAGGAGGGAGGGAGGCAAAAAGAAAAGAAGGAATGAAGGGAAGAAAGAAAAGGGAGAAGGAAGGAATGAGGAAAGGAAGGAGGGAGGGAAGAAAAGAAGGAAGGAAAGAAAGAAAAAAGGGAAGGAAGGAAGGAGGGAAGGGAGGAAAGAAAGAGGAAAGGAAGAAAAGATTTTGTGTCTCCTGTGTGCTAGGCATTGTGCTAAGTGCTTTACAATGATTACCTCATTTGATCCTCCCAACAACTCTTTGAGGTAGATGCCATTATCGTCTTCATTTTATAGATGTGGAAACTGAGGCAGGTGGTGGTAAAGTAACTTGCCCAGGGTCCCACAGCCATTCAGCATGAGGCAAGACTTGAAGCCTAGGTCTTCCTGACTTCCAAGGCCAGCTCTCCATTCACCATCCCATGCTGCCTCTAATGATGATGACGATGAGACCTGTGATGCCATTGGTATAGAGACATCCCAGAGGGGAAATTCCCTCCACCAGTGCAGTCCTGCCTCCACCTTGGTTGCATCTTTGAGTTTTTGACAGTTGACTGGGGGCCCTGAGACACTAAAGTGACTTACCCAGGGTCACACAGCCAGTCAGTGTCAAAGACGAGTAGGGCTTGAATCCAGATCTTCCTGACTTCCAAGGTTGGTTCTCTGTCTAATCTTGTCCCATCAGATGCTTCATAACAAAGAATTTTTGGAAAATAACAGTTTAGCAAAACCGATACATCAGCTTTCTATCACAGTCTATGCAACATAGGCCCTCACCTTGGCAAGGAATAGAGGGAGATGCTTTTGTCTACCTGTAGAGGTGAAGTGTTAAAGAGCCACAGTTGTACAGCTTAATAAGTGTGAGAGACAGGATCTGAATTTGGGGGGGACCTCCTTATTTGAATTCCTTCTTCTATAGCACCCTTCCTGGCTAGAGCCCCTCTAGTTGGACCCCCTCATTTGGGGGATGAGGAAACTAATAGATCATAGGTTCATTGAACTGGAAAGAACCTTAGAGGTCCTCAGGTCCCACCAGTCCATTTTACAGTCGAGAAAACTGAGGCCAGAAGCGTGAAGTGATTTACCCAAGTGGGATTGGTCATTCACAGCCCTTCCAGACTTGCTTGGCATCCCTTCCCCACTTCTGTCCACTAGAGACCAGGAGGTCCCTATTTGCCCCTAAACCCACAAAAAGGTCGCCGAGAATCCAATCTGAAGAACACACCGTGTTACAAAGAATTCACACACTTAGAACTTACTTATCGTCTTGGGGCCAAACATCCCACCTTCCACAGCCTCCCCTCTTCCCCCTAACCCAGTTTATTATTATTTGCACACTCATTGTACATCAAACATTTACCTCGTGTAAACAAATAAAAAACAAATAGCCAATAGGATGTCCCCTCGGACGCTAAAGCAACCAGCTTCTAGCTTCATGAGGTTTGAATACAGCCTAGTTATTTTGACCATTCTCCAAGCTCATTAAAATGATATGCTATATAATTCTGTGCTGGCCCCCACCCCTGCCTCCAAACACACCATGCATTCCAGGGTCAGATCAAAATAACTTTAGGGTTTTCCCATGTCATAGAGAATCCAGTTCAACGACATCCCGTAATGGGCTAAATTTGGAGTCAGAGGACTTTGAATCCGAGGTCAGCTTGTAACCCCCAGGTGACCTTAGTGTACGGAGTGCTGAACCTGAATTCAGAAATAGCTGTGTTCAACTCCTTCCTCTGAAGCCGATTGTGTGATGCTGGGTAAGTCCCTTCCTCGCCCTGGGCCTCAGTTTCCCCCTCTGTAAAATGAGAGGGTTAGACTTAGTGCCTTCTCAAGATCACTATTTTTTTCATGAAGCCCCCATAAATTAGACCTGTGGACTTGCAGGTGAGTGGCTTGGTCTCCAGGCCTGGAGATAGTAATCTTTGTTCCTTCTTCCTTCCTTGTGTTGTTTTGGAGACAGAGACTTTGGCTAAGTGAGCTAAGGAACTCCCTGCAAGGAAATTTCATCTACTCTGTAGAATCAGTAGGCCAAGACTCTTGTCTGGAGCATTGAGAAACGAAATGACCTGCCTAGGGTCACACAGTTAGTGTATGTCACAGAATA